TGGGGGTTCACTCTACTTAAAACAGAAGTATCAAGGAATCCTTATCTAGTGGGGGTTCACTCTACAAAGGACTTTACCTGTCACTGTTGGTGATACGGCTTTAGAATATTACAAATCGCGATTTTGTAAATTAGAGTTCACAAACGTTTGGCAAGCTCCAATTCAAAACTTGTTTAATAGTGTCAAAAGTATTATATTAAAAGAAAAGTTCGGATGAAGTAATTGTTTCTCCTTGTTAGGTCAATGCTTTTATGGGGGTTTTTTTTTTGGTAAATACTATTTTCTTTTCAAGTTTTGATATAACTGAGCATTGAACATACAATATAATTCAACTTTTCCAAAATGATATACAGGTATACTAATTTTATGACTTTTCAATTTGAGTGAGTACTTTAAAACTTACTCAAATTCACAAGTCATAAAATAAGTATACCTGACTAAACTAATTAATATCTCTTATTTTGAAGAGTATTGGAAGCTAACACCGTCTTCTTCAGTAGGAAGGGTCTTAAAGGAACAGAAACTCTTGAAACAGCATGTACCGTGAGTAGCTTTGACAAAATGATACTTTACTGTACAAAGCAACAATTTTAAGTACCTACACAGTGTTGTAGGTGTTCAGACTTCAATTTCTGTAATTGGATTGTGTTTCTATTTCAGAAAAGAGTCAGGGAAGCTTGTGAGAATATTACATTGTTCTTGAAGTGTTTACTAGAAGATCTTGCAGACGAAGATAAAATGTAAGTTGTTCTTTAAAGTGACCCCATCTCAAAATCATGAGATTGGCATGTCAGTCTACTGGCTGGATGGTGCATTAAATGTAGGTTTACTAAGTGGTTCATTAAATGGTTCTATCTTGTGATTGGTCAATGTAGGTCCACTAGCTGGTGCATTAAATGGTTCAAACCTGTGATTGTTCTGTGTAGGTCTACTACAGCTGTGGGAGAAGCCATATCTCAGCCATCCAGGCTTTATTCCTCTTTACGCATGCGTATGTAATTACGTCATATTGTTGTAGATCTGTTTATTGGTGAACTAAGCCGACATCTAGATTATAATTACTCTAGGATGGATGATTTGCTGGATTCCCATCCATCCAGGTAGCTGCTATACTCCTGCCATTGTACATCGAGAAATAGAGTTGCATGGGAGGATGAGTAAGTTGATTGTCATCCCTTCAGGTCAGGAAACTGCCAGGACGTAACTCATCCTCCTTGGCAGCTCCCGTTTCAAGTATGCAACGATGGGTCCAAAAGCTACCTCAACGGATGACAATCGAATCATCATAAGTAATTATAACTAAATGGTGCATTAAATCGTTTTAACATGATTAATCTACATAGTTACCAACCTGAGTGTTTTGAAATGCGTGACTACACCAGTTGGGGGTGAGGCGGGGGGGCCGCCAGGACCCGGAGTGCAGGGGCAGAACCTCTGTGGGGTCCCGGGTTCCAGTCACATATTCAACGGTTGGTTGTGACAATGAACGCGCAAAACCACACACGACTACTAGATTCTACTAAGTGCGTGGTTGGCTGGGTTATTGTGTTCGGGAAAGAGAAATTTTCTCAGAGAATTGATTCTCGAACGAAATAACGATAGCTCTCTAATGACTCAAGCTACTGCATGACTGTTTTTATATTTATATAAACCAATTTCTCCTAATTTGTAATACATTTTCCCCTAAATTCATGTTAATTGCTTATCGCGCATAGAATTGAGCTAAATGTGTGATCATGCATGTGTTTCTGCGAAATGCGTGTTTCATCCAAAGTCACTTTGAAATGTGGGATCGTCCTGCACTATGAAAGACGGTTGGTAAATTTGGGTCTGTGTGGGTCTACTAGATGGTGCATGACACCCTGTTATATTATGTGAAATAAATTATCAATGCAATTACAGTAGTTAAATTAGTTAATCATTTGACCTTCATTAACTTATACTGAACTAATTTGAGAAATTAATACAATTTACTGTATTTTTATTATGGCCAAAGAAACAAAGAGATTGTTTGGAGGGAAGTTGGGAAAGCTGTTACTTACAATCAACCAGTGGAAGTTGTGTCATCATTACAGCTCATTGCAGAGGAAACTGCCGAAAAATTACATGGACAAGCAAATGCAATCAATTTGATAGAAGATGCTAAAAGCCTCAGGTAATTCTTTTTTTATGATCATTAGTTCCATTTAAGAATCTGAACCCTAGCTTTGAATAACAGAATAAATATTGAAGCATATGCGATGGTCATTGGTGATTCCAGAAGGTACAAGGTAGGCTTTCGCAGTAATGAGGACATATTTGCAGTAATGGTGACAATATTTGCACATGTGTATTTTTATTCTTGTTGTGATGCAGGCCTAATGGAACGCATCATGAAACCTGTAAAAGGGGTCGTTCAACATTTTCACAAGTGTACAAACTGTACTCCAGGAAGAGGGAGTAGACAACTTTGTACACTCTTACATATTCATAAAAATATTGATTCAAAATAACATGCATTATGTAAAATAATGGGAAAATTATAATGTGTAACCATTGTAATATTCATTTTTAAGCAACCAACTACATTAACTTCACCAAAATATGGAGAATGGTTTTGCAAAATCAAAATTTTTTGTATACTTTCAGAGGGGAGGGAGGGGGTACCGTAAAAGAGTACTGTTTGTCGACTTGTGAATGTGAACGACCCCTAATATTAGGCTGTAACTATATTTTATTGTAGATTTAAGTATGCATCAAGTGGCCATCTGAAGGACATGTCTACCACACCTGATGTGATGTGCAGTGTTAACCAAATTATTCTGGTAATAGCTTGTTTATTTTTATTAAAACTATGTTATCACTCTCTTCCTCTCATTTACGAAACATCTGTCTCATCAGGAAATACTTAAA